TAAAAATATGACTTTTATCTTTCTTTTATTATAATTTAATGTATAAAAATATATAGATACTTTATAAAAAAATTTAAAATTTTAAAGAGGAAAGTATCCACAACCAATTATCCCCTGAATGGCGAGCGATAGGTATAAAAGCAACATTCCACCTGGAAGTTGCACGTTGCAATCAATTGCAAGACATACCTATTTGCAAAAGTTTGGTAAAGAAAAGTCATGCGCAGAGTTGCCGGCCATCAGAACAGGTGGTGTTAAGCTGAAATATCACCAGCTCAGCAGCCCAAGCAGAGGGTCAATAGTTGGCCAAAAAAGGAAACAAAAAAGGCAAAGGGTTAATAAAATCCGCCTCTTACCCTACACTTTAATTCCACATTGTGGAAAATTCAGGCTTTGTGGGGAGACCCTACTTTAAAGAAGGTTCAGTGTTTGTCTTGCAACTTCTTTTCATTTACATCGAATAATTCAAGGTACAAACAACATGTAGACAAGAAAGTTTAGTCGTATTGAATCCACCATAATCAATAACAATACAGATCTTAAGTATCAAATAGGATAGTATCATTGTTTTGTATGTAAACTATAGAAGAAAATGGATGAATCTATGAACAGTATTTCATCATGATATGCAGCATGAGGCATAAAGTGTAAGATTCCTCTATCGAGCATTTTTAGGCTAAGTTCATTGGTTGCTGATGATTCCATCATACTTGATGAAGAACCTGTTTCTAATTATTTCCTCTTTTCCATGAGGAAAACCGGGTTCTTTTGGTTAAGCCAACACAATTTTACAACCCAACATTAGAACCACGGATGACATGCTAGGTCTGTCGTAAGGATGTTGTTGAACACATAACAGGCCTATTTGGATGCCCTGGGTCACTTCTGATACGGTGCATGACTCTTCCAAAAATGAATCAATTAGCTCTATAGGCTTTCCTTTTCTCCACAATCTCCATGCCTAAGACAAATACATACTATACAATTTTTGTCATTTCTCAGTTGAAAGTATGTTCCAAAAGTAAGTCTTGATACTTGCATCCAATCAGGTTAAGGCCATGGTTTATATGATAAAACCCTCTATTAAGGAGAAATTTAGTAGGTTGTTTAGATTGGCAGAAAATAAAGATGTTTTGGTTAAAAATATGGGTGAATGGAGGAATGGAGAATGGGTTTGGAAATGGAGTCGGCGTTGGGAGCTGCTAGGACGTGAATGTGCCTATTTGCAGGATCTTATTAGGCTGCTGCGCGCATGAGAGTTGTTGGATTTTTTGGTGAAAGAAGGAAGGGACTTGGAGGAGGAAGGGAGAAGCACCGGAGTTCTCTCATTTGAAGAGCTGAGAATTCCGATGCTTCTCCCTTCCTCCTCCAAGTCCCTTCCTTCTTTCACCAAAAAATCCAACATGGTATCAGAGCCAATGGCGTAGCACAGTTAGTGGTTACTTCGGTCTTGGACCAAGCTTAGCAAAGTGAGAGTGTATGTTATGTAAACCCATGATGAGTATACCCATGGATGATGTTATGCCATGAAGAGTATACCCATGGATCATGTCATATCATGTATGTATGTCAAAAAAAAAAAATTGATGAACTCTTACGGGGCGCTCACAACTCACAAGTGAAAGGGGGAGTGTTGAAGTAGTATGTTCCCTTGTGAGTGTGATTAAGATCCCACATCGAAAAAATATAAAAAAAAAGAGTGGCTTATATATGTAAACACCTATGAAATTTTTAGACTAGTTTTTTTGTTCCAATGTGATGTCAAAACATACAATGGATCACTCAATGTCGCCTTCCTAAGCCACATGTCTCCCCCAACAAGAGTAAGCTGGTGTAAGGAAAGCAAGACTCCTGGAGGTGGAAGCATGAATCGAAAGGAACTTGCTCCACAAAATCTGCATACATCATATTAAACTCTAACAGTAGAGAGCTAGCTTCGAGAAAATTCAACATGTTATGGAATAACAAGGTGCCACTTAAAGTTTCTGCATTTGTGTGGAAAGTTATGCAAAATAGAATTCCTACCGGTGATAACATGCATTTTTTTGTGGAAGGCAAACTGAAATAGTAAGTCATTTATTTTTCTACTTGTGAGGCAACTTGGGCAGTGTGGCAAGCATCTTATGCGTGCTGGGGTCTGCAGATGGTTCTTACATGTGAAGGCTGGAATCATTTGCAGCAACATGCAGGTATGGTGCAAAATGTAAACTTAAAGGAAATTTGGTATGTGATATGGTTTTCAGTTATTTGGTCTATATGGCTGTGGAGGAACCAACAAATTTTCAAAGAAGGAAATGCTACTGTGGTGGATTTAATAAAGCTATGATCACTAAACTGGGTTAGGGCCAAGCTAAATGCAGAAATGGCCAAAGACTTGTGGCTTGAGAATCCCAGGGAAGCATGCAAATGAGAAGGATTTTCTAGGGATTTTTTTGCTGGGACTGAATTGAGTCATGTAATACAAGTAATACTTATGATGATGTAAAGGGTTGCAATACCCCTAGTACTCCAAAAAATAAATAAATAAATAAAATAAAATTTTATTTTTCCGATCAAAAAAAAAAAAAAAGAAGAAGATAAAACCCTCTATTTTCTTCTCACTTATTATCTCCAACAATAGTATACTTAAGCTAAAAACATAAAAACATCTTATTTCACTGAGAATTGTCCATCAATAGCATATTCTGGCCCATGTAATCACTATGGAAAATCATCCAAAGAAAATTATACAAATGAGGTTATTGGGGAGATCTAAGCAAAGAAATAAGACTTACTAGGTTGCAACAGTCTGTGCTCCCTTCAATATTCTGGTCTCCTCCAAAAGTTCCAGCCAAGCCAAAGTCTGAGATTTTGGGTTCATCTCTCTATCAAGTAGAACATTATTGGCTTTGAGATCTCTATGAATAATCCTTAATTTGGAATCTTGGTGTAGATAGAGAAGCCCCACAGAAATTGCACAGATAATGTGAAAACTCTTGGACCAAGCAAATAGTTTTCTTCTTGTTTATTCTGGCAAGTAGGATATTCATACTAGTGCAGTTTCCTAAAATTGTGCATGCACAAACTAATTCCGATGAATTCATGCCACTCCTACAACAGGTATTTGGTTTTTAATCTGACCAAAAATGAAGAAGTCCAAACTTTTGTTGGACATGTATTCATAAATCAGCATTTTCTCCTCTCCTAGGAGGCAGCATCCCAAAAGCTTCACAAGATTTCAATGTTGAAGTTTGGCTATATGTGCAACTTCATTCTTGAACTCATTTAATCCTTGCCTAAAGCTTCTTGAAAGCCTCTTCACAGCAATTTCTTGTTCAATCCAAGCAAAGGGTCAATAAAAGTAATCCTCATATTCTACTTTGGTTCGAGAGTACGACTTTGAAGGATATGAAACTAAGGAGAGATTGAGTGCAAAAGCCACACTAAATTTTCATTATACAAAATACTTAATTAGACACTGATTAGGGTAATTACAAAACTACCTCAGCAGTTATCAAATACAAACAAACTTTTTAACAAATTGCTATAAACTTAAGAACACAGAAAACAGTAATTAATTTGAAAATAAACTAGTTCAAACTGCGGCTTTGATGGCATGTTTATCTGGAACAGTTCCAACAAATTTATACATTTTGGGAAATTCAGGCTCTAAGAAGGTTTCATTTGTTTTTTCAGTATAAAATGAAATTGGTTACGAACCACATATATATGAAAAGACAGCTTCTGGGTGGACCGTAAACCCTTCTGTTGATGTTTGAGTAAGAACTTGAAGGGTATGTTTTTGCATTGGAGTTTAGGGCCCAAGTTTTATTTAGTCTTAAAGTTGAAAAAACATAAAAAGGTACTAATTGCACCCATGAACAATGTTCTGGTCATGACATATACATCACTATATATAATCCTTTACCGAACCTCCAAGATCGTGTGGGTGATTTCGTTTACTGAGGTCGAGTCATGCTTACTTGTTGGAGAATCCATTTCAAGAGCAGTCCTTTCAAGCAAGAAACCTGGCTGTTTTGGCTGAGGCAATTTGATCTCACTTCCCAACATCATCACCACCGATGACATGGGAGGCCTGTCCTCAGGATTCTGTTGAAGACATAAAAAACTGATGTGGATGCATCTAATAACTTCTGATAGAGTGAAACACTCTCCCAAGGATTCAGCTACAAGTTCTAAAGGATTGTCTTCTTTCCATAATTTCCATGCCTGGAGGATATTAAAGCCAGTTCTTCATTTATGAGTTCAATATAAAAGAAAGTGAAAGAATGATTGATGATGCTTACATGTCCAATGAGGTTAATGCTGTGTTTTGGCTGAAAAAACCCTCTATTTTTAATACCACTTATTATCTCCAGCAATAATATGCCAAGGCTAAAGACATCTGACTTTATTGAGAATAGCCCATCTATGGCATACTCTGGTGCCATATAACCACTGCACAACAATGTTCATAGGAGAACAGGTTAATTGGCATTTGCAGATAAAAGTAAAACTATGAAGTACTAAAATAATACTTACTATGTGCCAACAACTCTCCTTGTGCTCCCTTCAGTCTGCTCTCCTCCAAAAGTTTTGGCCATCCCAAAATCTGAAATTTTTGGGTTCATCTCCTCATCAAGAAGAACATTACTGGCTTTGAGATCTCTATGAATAATCCGCAATCTAGAATCCTGGTGAAGGTAGAGAAGCCCCCTCGCAATCCCACAGATAATCTTGAAACGCTTGGACCAATCTAATTCTTTACCCCTTGTTTTATCTGGAAAACAACATTGCATTCATGACAATTTGGTAATCCTACTTCATCTAAAATGTGTGAAATAGATACAACATAACTACTTTAGTACAAGATTGATAGAAAAATTCAAAAGGATTTCTAACCAAAAATGAATGAGTCCAGGCTTCTGTTAGGCATGTATTCATAAACCAGCATCTTCTCCTCCCCTTCAATGCAACACCCAAGAAGCCTAACAAGATTTCGATGCTGAAGTTTGGCAATCAATTTAACCTCATTCTTGAACTCATTCACACCTTGTCCAGAACTCTGGGAAAGCCTTTTCACAGCAATTTCTTGCCCATCTAGTAATTTCCCCTAAAAAATAAAAGGGACTAAGTAGTAGTAAAAACAAAGGAAAAATAAGCAAATTAGCCATGTAAAAAAATTTTCACCAGCAACTAAGCCCCCTGATCAAACTTCAGTGTCAAATCAGCCCCCTAAACTTATAGATAGGAGCAAATATCTCCAAATGGACAAAGCTGTTAGTCTCCATTAAATTTATCTGACGTGGCAAAATAGTATCAGCATTTATTCGTAGAAAAAACTGATGTGGACTCAAATCATATTTTCATACTTGGGCCTAAAAAATTAAAGAAAACTACTTGGCCATGTCAACTTTTCCATCCACTTTGGACTTAGTTGCTGTTGTTCATAAGTTCAAAGGTGATTTGTCACCAAAGTTTCATCAAGAGGTTATTTGTCTGTGAAAAATACATTTTTGGGGGCCTAATTTGCCTATTTTTCCTAAAAACAAATGCAATTTACTTATGCTCAATTTCATTAATATGCTGCAGAACATACCTTGAAAACAGGTCCAAAACCCCCTTGACCCAGCTTGTTGCGGAGTGAAAAATTATCAGTTGCATGTGATATTGTAGCTAGTTGAAATACTGGAAGCTCCATGTCTTCATCTGGGCCTTCATTCTTTATGTCATTTTCTTTCTTCTCTTTGATTCTCCCTGTAACAGCAGTAGACATGGAGCTTAACGTTAACCATGGGAAGATCAGAAATGGAGAACTAAACTAGTTATGCTTTGATCAAATGTATATTGAGATTCAAAATCATTCTGTTCATCATCGAGCAATTACATCTTGAAGATTATTGAGCCACAAAAAATCTAATTGAAAAATGGGGAAAAAAAATCAAGACAACAAGTATATTCACAGAACACTGATTGGATTTTGCCAATAGTCATAGCATGAAGGAACAAAATGAACATATATTTGTTAAGGTGAAAAGTTTGAAATATTTACCTCCTGAGCTTCTACTTTTGCAGAAGTAATGGCATAAAATAAGCATCGCCAGAAGTGCAGCAAGTGGAGTTGCAATTATCAGTGCTATCTTCAACTTATTCTCATTTCTCTTTGATCCTTCATTGTCAATTTTGATAGAAAGAACAAATGTAATTAAATCTTAGCTAAATTACATTATCACAAGCTGTAATAAGCATAGTTCTTTGATCTTTCTACTTCCAACAAGACTCAGCATCAATGAAACATTCAAGTTGGCTAATGAAGAGACGTGAATGAAAGGGATGTTCATACCTAATTCCAAAGCAGACATCCTAATGAACAGATCCTGCCCACCAGATTGATACTGTCTAATGTCAACTAGATCACCAAACCAAATGG